CATAGATACAAAGACATACAGACACACTCTCACTCAAACACAAAAACATACAGGCACACAGACACACTGACACAAAAACATACTGTATCACAGACAGACAGACAGACAGATAGATACCCTGACGCACAAACAAGAAAAAAGCCACACCTACCAGTTTTGAGTCCCTTGAAGAGCTTGGCCTTTGACCTTAGCCAGGGAACCAGCTGGTGGATCTCGTGAGACTGGCGCTGCTCTGGGGGCTTGGAGATGATCCGCAGAGCCTTCTCGAACTCCTTAGACATGGCGGCACGTCTGCTTCCGGTTCCACCTCGCTTCCGGTTCCGCTTCGCTTCCGGTTACACCTCACTTTCGGTTACACTTCGCTTCCTGTTACGCTTCGCTTCCTTTTACTCCTCGGTTACCGCGCACTAAGCGTGTCGTGTCCTTTCTTAAAGATATTATTATGATATTGTCTATGGTGGTGTCAGATCCTAGCTGTCATTGGATTATATAGATTAAATTTCAATAGTGAAGAGCAAACGAATTTGTTAGTTTGCTTTACCTCATGTCTCTAACACTGTCTCTTACTGGAGCATTCTGATAAAAAGCAGAAGAAACATTTCACAACCTGTTATTGAAATAGTTCTTTTACACCTCAGTCCGAAATTTTGAGGAAGATATGGACTATTTTATAATTCAAAAATAAATTGAAAAAAATACTGAGATGAAGAATAATAGTAGTGAAAATAATAATAGCGGTGAAAATAATAATAGCGGTGATAATAATAATAAATACCAGATGAAGGGAGGAAGGGTGCGTTGCTCCTGCAAAAGTTTAGCAGCTGAGCGTTATTTATTTATTTCATTGGGGGGAAAAACAAGCACAGGGCCTAAGTAAAGAAGATTTAAACAATTCGATTTGAAACCAGATCTATCGTAATAATACCATAAGTCTATTCCAAACGCTTTTTCCGAAAAAAAAAAAAGAAACTTTGCAGATGCACTTAAGCGCTGATGACTCAAGGTGAAAGATTTATCGTCTGTCTTAAAACAACTGTACGTTCTTCTTACGTGTTTTACTCCAGCTGCTCTGACCTGAGGGGAAATACAAAGAATGAATGTAAATTGTGTGTAGATAGCATGCTTCACTATCTATCTGTCTCTTCATGTGCCTGTCCTCTAGGCGTCTTTATAAAGTGTGTGCCTGTTTGTTTTGTTTTGCTTTATGTGAAATCTACGCGTGTCCGAGTCACTCTTTGTCCACCTTCCATTTCTCTCTTCCGTTAATCAAATATAGATATAACTTTAAACATACGTTCCAAATTACGTTCTCTACTTTTATGTCTGATTATTTGTGTGCTTATGTCAAGTTATGCGTCTGTGTATCTGTCGGGTGTGAAGGTGTGTGTGTGTGTGTGTGTGTGTGTGTGTGTGTGTGTGTGTGTGTGTGTGTGTGTGTGTGTG